CCCCAGTGAACGTCGATGGTAAAACCACTTTTGTCCCAACATCATCACCACGTTGATTTTGTTGCACGGCATCTCTTAAATCCTGATAATACTCCAAGCCCAATTCTTTCTGGTGGAATCTCACCCATTTTAAGCGGAGGGATTCAACTTTAGCGTACGCCATGCAACAAAACTCGTGGAAGAGACGTGCTGCATAAAGGAGGCAAGGCCTTTCACCATCGCGCTCATGGAGGTGAAAAGCATAGTACTCCTTGGCACTAAGTCCTGGCGGCCATCCAGCTTCCGAGGCACGTTGAACAGACCAACTATCAATTCCCTCCGGGAAAAGTAAAACAAACCTTAAGCAGTCGTGCGCTCGAGAATATTCCGGAACCACAACCGTCTGCCGCTCACCCGGAAGAGGAGCACGCAAACGAATCTCGAGCTCACGAGGAAGGAGTTCATCGGTCATCAGAATACACACCTCATGTAAACCCATAGGACGGTTATAACGCCTTGCATGTTCGCCATCAGGTATGGCATCCGGATTTATGACCAACTTCCTCCCGTTCAACGCTTCCGGCGGAAGGTCAGTAACCGTCATAAAGTCCTTCACGTAATTGTTACATCGTTGTAACAATTCGTGAAACCTTCTCAATATCCCATCGCGCCGATCGTATGACTACACTACATTTTCACATTCCACCCCGGCGCGCAGCTAGCCATGGCCCTCCCCCCGCGGCTGATGCTCCTTAAGGGGTAGGATAATTTTCTACAAGACTTGTACAAAGACCACCTCGTTACAAAAAATATACCCAACGCAACCTTATATTCTAGCATTCTTACTTATTAAAGCTATACAAATACACAACTACATACATACCGTGGTGCAGTTATGGGTACCTTAGAAAACTAATGCCACAGAACAATAGAAGTAGAAAGCATCTCTAACCCTTCTTCAAACACAATTCTTTGCATACATCACGACCTCGGCGTCATGCGAATCACATCTGTACCTTACACATACAACAAAAATTACCCCCGGGTAATATACTGCACAAACGACAAAATACAGAACGGCTACGTCTACAAAAACAAAATAAAAAAAATGCGGTTGAAAACACCAAAGCAAAATTCCACAACCACATACATAAAAAACAAAATACATGCAGTAGTAAGGAACAGGTCACACGGCACATCTCGGCTCCGACGAGGCTACTCCAGGAAACCGAGTTCACAAAGACAAAAGTGAAAGAGAACTTTTCAAAGAAAACAAAGACCCATTGCCAAACGCTGCACAACATCACATGACGACAAACAAGTTGCACGCTGAACTCTTCTTCAGCTGCAAAAAACAGAACCTACACGGGCGAAGCATGTATTACATACAGCTACACCATTTTTTTATAAAAAAAGAAGAGAAGCACACACCCCCAAAACATTAACCACACCCATCTGCACTTAAAACAAAAGACCTAGTAGCACCCATCACACAAAGCAATACTACTTCCCACCAAGCCTTAAACACGTAATTATCTCCCTACCCCCTCTCGGTACTTCGCACCACCACAATAACACCATACAGCTATAATCCGCAGCCTTGCAACCTGCATAAAAATAGCCCTGCTCTACGGCAAGTACACACTTCTACAACGCCGCACAGCATGCGCTCGTCATCCATGCTCCACGCAGCAGATCATAGCCTTCGCCTCTACGCACGCACCCCCTGGCCTCAAACCTCTGATTTCTGAGCATCTGCTCGTACAGACAAGCGGACACACGATAGCTGAGCGAGAACTGACTCTAACACTCGCTCTACTATCACAAACACTGATACAAGGTAGCTGTACTAAGGAGACAGCGGCAAACACAAGTCATGGCTACCGCGGCGGATGCTTCAGCCTCTCAAGTCTTCCAGCTACAGGTAAACCTCCTTACACCTAAACGTCCGTGCTGTCCTATGAATGCATTTAACATTGTACTAATGGGAGACTAATGACTAAAGCCTCTGATGAGCTGCTATGGTGCTAAGCGGCGAAAAGCGCGCTTCAGGGCGTGCACCACCCTATGACTGTTTTTATGCAGTCATCATTAACACAGGCCTGAACTTAATTCTGCTCCCCAGGCCTTTTAACGATCTAAATGACATTCACCACTAACCCACTTGACACCCTCGTGTTACTTTTATGTATGTATGGTGCTAACAATGTTGCATTGTATCGACTCTTGCATATGCTTGTTTTCCATAAATTAAGGAATAGCCGTGCAATATGCACACCCACTACGACACACACACACACACACACACACACACACACACACACACACACACACACACACAGAAACACACAGAAACACGCACTCTTGGAGTCTCTTTTGCTTTCTCTGAGTTCTCGGCCATGGTGGTTATTCATGTGCAGGTGTTTGTTTTCGAAACTTTTGAAGATTTAACACTTCGGATTCTAACCGTATGTGCAATTGCATCCACAATAGTTGGCGTTCTTGCAAAGGTGAGAAGTTTATGAAGGTGTCAATTAAAAAAATTAGAGCCAACCACGTCTGTAGCCAAAATGAGCTCAGAATGGGCAAAAAAAAGCATGTACGACAGGTCACTCTCGCTCCACAGTCAAAACAGCAATAAAAAAGGTGCCGCAGTTTCTAATAAGCATGGATGTCTTTAGTACAGGGGCGGGCACCAACTCGCCTATCTCAGCTGGTACATCTTCTGCAGCACTGTTGAAATATCGGCCCAAGTTTGAAATCCGCTGGAAGCAGATGAGTGAAATTATACTACCATTCTGAGTTCCCTACAGTCTTTCCCCGAATACAACGAACGGTCATTATAGATGAATTAAGACAGAAAGATAGACCAAATTCAGCTATAATGACCGTTGTATTCGGGGGAAGACTGTAGGGCCGGGGCCAAGTTCCACATGCACCGTTGAACTAGCTCAACGCAATGGTGTGACATGGTTTTTGCGACTTAAGAACTCAAACTAAACTAAAGGCAAAAAAGGAGAACCAAATGCTGCTGAAAGCTTTTTTCCCCCTATTTCCCAAAAAAGAATGAATAACCAAATGCTACTGAAATCTTTGTCCATATTTTCTAAAAAGTAAAATGGAAAATACAACAATCCTCAGTGAAAGGCTCCGCATATTACGCAACGTCGTAGACAGGGACTCACTAGAACATGAAATGAACGTAGATAGTACTCCTGGCTTGGTGCATTCGCAGAAACGAGTTTGGGGCTGCACAGCCAAACACAGCATGAACACTCTCTGCCAGAGTGTCCTCCCACAGAATGCCAGACTGTCCTCCCACAGCTGTCGGAGTGTCCTCCCACATAAGGTCATCATGGCACAAGCACCGTTAAACTACATACCCCACTTCAAGTGGGGTATGTAGTTCAACGGAAGGGTAGGGGGCGCTGTATTCGGGTGGAGGGATTTTTCAGCACCTCTCTTGAACCAAGAAACAAAAACGAAAGTCTTTGTATTTTATACACTAAGAACAATAACTGCCATTTCGTCAAAATGGACATCCTTTATTTTTTGAACGAAATTGAAACCGAGCTTTTTGGCCGAAAACTCGTCAAAATTTGCTGTTCCTGAGTGTACCCCCTGGCTGTACATGGACCTAGCTTGAGACCAGGCACCTCCAGGCAGTCCTCCCTGGAGGTGCCTGGTCTCAAGCTAGGTCCATGTACAGCCAGGGGAAACGCTGGACCCCCGGGCTGTACCTGGACCCTCAGGAACAGCAAATTTTGACGAGTTTTCGGCCAAAAAACTCAGTTTCAATTTCGTTCAAAAAATAAAAAATGTCCATTTTGACAAAATAGTCGTTCAACCGCTGGATGTGCAGCTCCCGGTGCATCTAAGACGTCGCGTGGGTTCACACACGTTGAGCTAGTTCAACGTTGAACTGGCTCAAAGGTGTATGTGGGACTTGGCCCCCGGTCAGTTCTATGATGATATCTCAAGGCTGTCGCCATTTCAAAAAAAAAAAAAAAGAAGTACAGGGGCGGGAAGTGTGCGCAGAGGGCCTGAATTCAAAAACTGAAGAAGCAAAAATGAACGGCTATTTTTGCGCATTCCAAACTGCCCTACGCAACAAAACTGCAATTTAAATGTTTTTTTTTTTTTTTTTTTTTTTTTTTGGCTAATTTGAAACTGGATGCCCTGACCATCCTTGACTGAGACGTAGTTGTTTCTTAATTTTAATTCTTTTAATGTGAAACTTGGAATTATTGAAGTTGTCTTCAAGAAGATAGGAGAGAAGTACCAAGATATATCACCATAGGGCCTGGCTGCACTACTCTCCACATGCACAAAAGACAAACGAGATGGCAATGAATCTTTCCGTGTTCTAGAGGTAGATTCAGTTGCATTTTGCACTTTTGGAGAGTAGTGCAGCCACTGACAGGCCCATAGTTGAGCTATGGTGTCCTAACCACCGCCCGTAGGCAGATGGCGAGCCTGGCATCCCTCAGCTGGAGCCAGAATCCAGCCTCATCAGGAGGGAGAAGTAACTCCGAGGGTGATGGGTAAGGGTCTCGCTCGGCTACTGTCCACTGTACAAAATTGTGGAGAGTTTGTGGACAGCTATGGATGGGTAAGGGTCTCGCAGACTCTCGCTCCACTACTGTCCACTGTACAAAATTGTGGACAGTTCGTGGACAGCTATGGGTGCCTACAAAAATCGTGGAAATGCGGCATCGCTGCTCCACTTGCTGTACACTATACAACACCCGAATAAGTGAGGGCATACTCACACGGGGAACAAAACTCTCAAAAATTTGAGGCATTTGGTTCCGGCTTTCTGAGGCATTTGCTCCCTGTGTGGTCACACGGACGGACTTCGTCCAGAGAGAGGATGAAGTCTGGACCCTGACACTTTGCACTCAGGGCAAGTGCGCCCGGTCACACGGGCGAGAACCAACCAAAAAGATGGATTTTTTTTATTTTTTTTTTTCACGCCAGTATAACGTGTGGGCCTTTGCTACAACGTAAAAAAA